CCCGGCCCCCCCCCCCCAACCCGCGGCCTCCCCGGGGAAGGGGGGGAAGGACCGGGCCCCCCCCCCGCTGTGAGGCAGGGTACAGCTTCTTTGCACCCTCCCTGCAGCCCCCCCTGGGCTGGATCACCCCACGCTGCCCGGGCAGGGGGACAAGGGGTGAGCAGGGGGGGTTCCCACCCCAGGAGACATGGGGGGCACCGATGGGTCCTGGGGTGCAGAGCCCCACTAAGAGCACCCCTTGATGGCCAAGCACCCCGAAGTCCCCCTGGGGAGCACAAGCCCCCCCCGAACCCCATTTCCCCCCCATGAGGGCTGAGATGGGTGAACTGTGGGTGCGTGAACTGCGTGTGTGTGGGGGGTGTCACCCACCCGGACCCACCACAGCGGGTCTGATGACCCCAAGATCCTGCCCCATCTGCTCTCCTGGTTCCCTGCAAGGGTTGCTCCAGTAGAGGGGACCACGGGGGGTCCCTGCCCGGTCCCGTGGCACGGAGGGTGCTTGGTGGCAAGTGGCCAGTCCTTGCTGTTGCCCTGGCAAGGAGAGATGCTCCGGAAGAGCTGGGAGGGTGGCGTTAGGGCCCTAAATAGCTCATCCCACTCCGTGCCCTCTCTGTGTTGGGGATGAGCTTGGTGTCCCCAGCGAGCCACCAGCACCTTGTGAGGAGGTGACGGTGTCTGGGGACGGGTGAGGGTGGTGGCAGCATCATCCTTGGCAGGGCTCCACCGAGCCAAGGGCCATTAAACGGGCCTCGTTAGGCTGGAGGGTGTCAAGGACTTTCCGTCCCCGCTCCGCCGGCACTGGCGACAGCCCTTAATCACGCTCCTGAGCACAAGATGTGCTCCCTGGTGCCTTAATGACCGTAACGAGCTGGATGGGGACACGCGGGTCGGGGATGGCGCCGGTTGAGTTATCAGCCCCCCGGCCAGGCTGGAGGTGACAAGAGGGGGGACAGGCGCGAGGGTCACTTTGTCACCAGGCTGAGGACGTGCCCAAGGCTTTATCCCTTTGCGTGTCCCCATCGTGCATCGCTCTGGGGGGACAGAAGGAGCTGTCACCGGGCAAGAGGAGTGGGCCAGGGGTTGGCACGGCAGCCAGCCCACTCATGAGGAGGACAAGAGTGTCCAGCTCACACCCCCGTGCCCTGGGGGGTGGCCAAAACCCCAACCCCGGCCAGCGAGGCTCAGCCAGGAGCTTGGCTCCGGGATGTCACCATGTGCCCGAGTCCTTCCCCTGGTGCCCACAGTGGCCAGATGGAGGACCTGATTGCCGTAGGGTGCTGGAAGCAAAGATGAGGCCTTAACGATGCCGGGCACTAACGAGGTCCTCTCCGTGACCCCCCATGGTGAGGAAGGCTGCGTGTCCCTTGTAGGTGGCTGCGTCCCCAACCCCTGCCTGAACGGAGGGACCTGCACGGAGGATGGTGCCCACCTCGCCTGCCTCTGCCTGCCCGGCTACGGAGGCAGCACCTGCGAAAGACGTGAGTCCCCCAGGTGCCACCATGGCCACGTCAGCTGGTCCCCTCCAGCTGGTCCCCTGCTGCAGCCTTGTCTGCTGAACCAGCAGCCCAGGAGAGAAAAATGCAGGGAAATCAGGTTTTTTGTTTTTTTTTTTTTCTTGCTGGTGGGGCTATGCTCCATCACCCTGACCCTCTCCTCTCTCCCCCCTCGCTCCCCACCCTGGCTCAGCGCTGGAGAAGTGCAGCCCCGGCTGGGACAGCTTCCACGGAGCCTGCTACAAGCATTTCTCCACCCGGAGGAGCTGGGAGGACGCCGAGAGCCAGTGCAGGCATTACGGGGGGCACCTGGCCACCATCCTCACCCCCGAAGAGCAGGACTTCATCAACGGTACGTGATGCCACCCCAGACCCCGCTGCATCCCCCCCCTGGACCTCTGTCTGTGGGACCATTGGCATCCCTCAGGGCTGGGCATCCAGTTTTAACCTTTAAGCCAAAAAAGCAGCCGGGAGGCAAGGCTGCCCCACTGTGTCGAGGGAGAGGGAGGCACAGTCTGGGGAAGGCAAAGAAAATAAAGAATAAAAGGGAATAGATGATACGATGGATTGACCAAAGTGTGGCTAGATGCTCACTGGCCACTTGGCTACTGAGAGAGCGGCAGGGGAAGCGCAACAGGCAGCAGGACCTGATGGAGGAGGGATGGATGGATGGATGGATGGAGAGGTAGACAGATACATGGATAGACATGAGAGAAGATGGATAGATGCACGGACAGACACGGGAGCAGACGGATACATGCATGAGGGGTGGACAGACCAGTAGAGGGCTGGCCACATCCCAGTAAATCTGAAGGCAAAGCAATAACCTGCCGAAAGGAGACAGGGGGAGGCAGAGCAGGGGACAACAGGAGCGGGGATGGGGCAGGGAGCAAAGAGGCCTGGAGGGATGAGGGTGAAGGAGGAAGGGGAAGAGAGAGAGAGAGCTGGCAGGGACAGGCAGGGACTGGCCGGACCAGAAGAGGACAAGTAGGGACAGACAAGAGGCAGAGCAGGGGACAACAGGAGCGGGGATGGGGCAGGGAGCAAAGAGGCCTGGAGGGATGAGGGTGAAGGAGGAAGGGGAAGAGAGAGAGAGAGCTGGCAGGGACAGGCAGGGACTGGCCGGACCAGAAGAGGACAAGTAGGGACAGACAAGGGACCTGCAGGGACAGGCAGGGACCAGACGGACAAGAAGAGGACAGACGAGGGACAGGCAGGAACAGGCAGGGACAGGCAGGGACAGGCAGGGACCGGTCGGACAAGAAGAGGACAGATAAGGGACAGGCAAGGACCTGCAAGGACAGGCAGGGACAGGCAGGGAAAGAGAGAGAGAGAGCTGGCAGGGACAGGCAGGGACTGGCCGGACCAGAAGAGGACAAGTAGGGACAGACAAGGGACCTGCAGGGACAGGCAGGGACCAGATGGACAAGAAGAGGACAGACAAGGGACAGGCAGAGACCTGCAAGGACAGGCAGGGACAGGCAGGGACCGGTCGGACCAGAAGAGGACAGACAAGGGACAGGCAGGAACAGGCAGGGACAGGGACACGGGGCTCTGTCGCCCTCTCCTGGCCAGCCCCGTCCCGCCGCTCTCCCGGGGGTCCGGGGATGGGGGGGTGTCCCCCTCTGTCCCCTTCCTGGGTCCCCTTGTCCCCAAACCTCCCGCACCCCACTGCGGGGCTGGGGAGAACTCCGCACACACACCCACCCACCCACCTCCAGACCCCAAATCAGCCCCGCCCCGCCGCTCTCCCGGGGGTCCGGGGATGGGGGGGTGTCCCCCTCTGTCCCCTTCCTGGGTCCCCTTGTCCCCAAACCTCCCGCACCCCACTGCGGGGCTGGGGAGAACTCCGCACACACACCCACCCACCCACCTCCAGACCCCAAATCTCCCCAAATTCAGCCTCCAGCTGCCTTGAGCCCCATCCTGACAGGGAATGC